TTTTTTTTTTTTTTTTTTTTTTTTTTTTTTTTTTTTTTTTTTTTTTTTGGTACCAGGGATCAACTCGGGCCCTTGCGCTTTCGAGGCAGGCGGCAGAACCACTGCACCAAATCCTTGTTCCTGTGTATTTTTCAGTACACATTTATCTTAGAAATATCTTCCTTACTTTATTACAAGTAGAAACCAAATTCATATAAAATGCAGGAAATCCTGTAATCACGGTCCTAACGAAAAGCACACCTGGAAATTTGACAAGTCGGGGCACATTTTACTCATTTAATTATAGTTCCCAAGTTGACCTCTTGAGGTTGGTGCCATCCCCAATAAGGCTTTGCAACATTCACAACAAACACTCTTTCCCATTTTACACTGTCCAAGTGTGGTGCAAAATGAATGTATTTAGAGTGTGGGTTGCGTCTACTGGCATGGGTTTAGGTTTTATCTTTTAATGAGATTTTAATTGGTTTTATTGCAGGATATATGGAAGGTGCCGAGAATGCCAATAGAGGAGGGCAGCCTAGTAAGTAAAATGGGTCTTTATAATCAGCGCTAGCCAACATGACCTCTCTCCAAAACTAACAGGAAGCCCTGGCTGAGTCTGACCCTTACAAGGAAACCAGACTTCTTCATTTTGGATTTTTCAAACTGCCTAGACTTTTTGAAGTGCTGAAAAAAAAAAAATTCACCCCAGATGCTTCCTTTCCTGAAAATTCCTGACTCTATAATTTTTAATCATCTTCAGAATGTCGCCTTCTGATGTTATCTTTGTCCCAAGCGTTGTTAAAGGTCCCGCCTGAACACGGTCAGGCCTGTGATGTGATAACAGGCCCTCCGTGAGTGACCACGATTCCCTGCATTTATCTTTGGTGGTGGTGGCCACAGGCCAAAGCCAATGCGGAGGGCGGAGGTGGTTCCTATGGTGCGTGTCTCTCCCATCTGCACACAACCTCAGACCCGTAAAATCGGTTCAAGTGCTCATTGAGATGAGGGAGGATCAGTGAATGCTTTGATAAAAACTGCATGTATGCCCAGAGTGGTAATAGCAGCAACTTCACTTGGCTGCCTGAAATCACACACACCCATCCGCTCCCTCATCCCCACAACATATGGACCCCAGAGAGCTATAAATTTACGCAGTCTACTTATCAAGAGTTCACAAACAATATAAAAAATTGCCCTGCTTAAAAAAAATAGGTGAAAAATCAGCAGTTCTTTCTCACTGAGCAAAGGTGGTAAAATGTGGAATGAGCTGCGGACTGCCTCCCCTCCCCTCCCGGAGCGGAGCGTGTTCTTCCTTTATTCCTGGTTTTTATGGTAGGATCTTATCTTTAGGACAGGATTGTAACCCCTAGGAGAGCCTCCCTCTCTTACCTTCCTATCTCCATGCCAGACTCCTCAGTAAACATTTATTTCCTCCAGGACTTCGATCAGGTTAGAGTATAGGATTTCCAGGCCTGAGAGGAACAGAGGGTGTGAGGATGGAGGAAAGGTTGGCGTCATCTGATAAAGCCCTGCAGGGTCCTGTAAGGGTGGCAAGGACAAAGAGAAGCCAGTAAAGTTGTAGGCTGCCGGAAGGTGATTTGAAGAGTCCACAGATGAGGAAGGTGCTGGAGGAGGGCCTGCCAAGCATGACTTCATGATGACATCTCTGGGCTTGAGGCCTGGCCGCAGTGCTGGTGAAGGGAGGACTCCTCTTTCCCAAAAGAGTCTCCTTACTAGTTTTTAATCATAGGTTTCTCTTTTCCAGTCCTTCCTCAACAGGAAGGATTCTGACCAGGTCATTTAGGAGGTGCTAATGGCCTTTCGTGGTGACCTTCCTGCCCTACCCAGGTCCACCTTGGATACAGGGCCACATCCTAGCACTTCGGTCACCATGCCCAGTCCGTCCTCGGCCCTGCCCCCCACTGTGAGCCTCCCACCTGCCTGCCCCTTGTTTCCTCCTCTGCCAGGCTTGGGACTGGCAGAGTCTCGTCTGTTGGTCTCATCTGCCTAGTGTTTTGACCATTTTATGGCAACATGATGGGAGGTGTATTCACTAAGGGAAGCCCTTTTCTGTGTAGCTCTGCAGTCCCGAATGCTCAGCAAACCATTCTGATTTTTGAATGGTTAAAACAGAACTGGGGTGGGAGTGGGGGAGCAAAGAAACAGTGGCATTCATTTGGGCTAGAAAACACTGCTGTCAGGGGTCAGGCTGGATAAACGTCAGACGGGAACCTGCCCAGTGAGTGACGTGTCCACAGCCACGAGATCCAGAAGAATGGACCGATGTGAGCAGGGCCTCAAGTTCAGATATGATTTTATTGGATGTATTTTTAAAAAATATATTGGGGAGGTTGTGGAAACAAAGAAACAAAGGCAGGAGCATGGGAGAGAAATACTAATGACGAGTGTTGATGTCCCCTACTGTGACTCATCTGAGAGCATCTTACATTTTTTGTTTTTTTTGAGTAGTGATCTGAGTAGACACAGAGCGGGAGGCATGAGCATGCATTGGAGCAAAGTACAGAACGAGAGGACATGGGAACAGAAGAGGGAATCTAGGGTGCGGTCAGATTATTTTTCTGGTACTAGGGATTGAACCTGGGGCCTTGTCCACTGCGAGGCAAGCACCGTACAACTGAGCCACGCCTCCTGTCCACATTCCTAACTCACGTTTTATAGGAGGCACTCACAGGTGGTCTTTTCTATTGATTGGAAAAAAGGACAGTGTCTCCAAATGCAGCATTAGGGCGATCGAGGACAGATGTGCAATGCTGCTGACCAACGAGGCTCTTGGTGAAGCGGATAGACATGTTTGAGCTAAAACTGCTCCCTGCCTCCCCATCTTATTTGCCTGTCTTGTGCTCTGCCTTCGTCCTCCTCCTCCTCTCTGCACATGCCCTCTCTAGGCTCTGAGTATTGCTGAACGCACAGTCCCTTCTCTGTAGTATGACTGTGGTGCTAAAGAGGAAATACATACTTTGAAAAGGTGGCTTAGCAGAGAGCAAAGGGGCCTGCGTGGGCATGGGGTCAGATGGGCAAGACTTGGTCCTGAGTCCTTATTCAGCTCCTTCCTGTCTGTACCACCCTAGATATGCTTCCAAATGGTTGGCCACGATTACAGTGACCTTGCAGAAGTGTAAGAATTGAGGGTTGAGGGAAGAGAACGGACCTTTGTCTGTGCTTATAGTGTGCCGGCCACAGGCCAAAGGGTGGTGTGTCTGTTCTCAATTCTCACGACAGTCCAGTGAAGTAGGAGTGATTAAGTGAGATAGCACACACACACAGCAGTGTACCTTCCTCAGACTGAAGTCAAAGTGTAACTGCCTGTCTTTCCCTTTCCTTTCCTTAGTTACCACCTACACTCACAGGTGGGAAACACTACTTGTCACCTCCTATATTGGAGGGCCACATTGGAGTGTGCGTCTAAACCCCTTACCGCCACGCTTGTTGAAAAATCGAGTCAGGAAGAACTGTTTGCCATTGTACTCCAAAACCCAGTCATCTGGGAAGTCAGGGGGCCGAGGTCCTTCCAGACCAGCACATGGCCTGAGAAGCAGGTCCAGGCCGTGGTTGTGAGGACAGTGATGTGGTCACTGTCTCCCAGGTGGGGCACACAGGTGGAATCACTCCTGCTGCACAGTCAAGGCGTCTTCCCAGGTAGAAAGTTTGTGTCACCAGGGGAGACGGTGATAAATTATTTCCGCTGGGCACCAGCGGGCATCCCTCCCTGCCTGGAGCGTAGCAGAGATGTTCCAGACGGCTGGCACCAAGCTCCTGCAGGGAAGGTGGTGTCGCATCACGTGTCTCCCGTGCCTCCTCCAGCATGGCGTGCAGATGGTACGGGGCAGTTCACTGTGGAAAGTGGCTGTGGTTTATGCGATCTGTTGCCAAAGCGGTAAGCCACAGCTGTACTCACTATGAGAAGGAAAAGGACAGCCCCACGTTACTCGGATCTTCCGCGCTCTCTTCTCTCCATCACGTGTGTGCGCAAGTTCACTGTGATAACAGGAGGCCTGTGGGATCCCCACGGGCTGTATGCTGGGAAACCCTTAGTCCCCGCCATGCCCTGAGCACCTACCACACAAGACCGTGTCTTGCTGATGTTTGCATTTCGGTGTGAAATCCACTACATGTGGCTAATGTTAGAAAAATATGTTGGAAGTGTGCTGGATCTAATGCCCAGCAGGCAAGATTTTTTTTTTTTTTGGTAATTGAAGGTATAGTTTTTTATGAATGATAATCATATTGGGTACCTATTTTGGATTTCTATCTATAAATATCACTATCCTGGTACACTTTTATCATTACCACAACTTTATGGTTATAAATGTTAATGGTCAGTAATAACTAACATTTATTAAGTGCTTTCTAAGAATTTCATGCATCTTCTCATTTAGCTTTCACAGAATCCCTGTGAGCACCTTTTATATATACATATTTCACTTTCAGTACTCAGAATATTCAAGGACTTGGACATTCAGCCAAGATCCCATGGGTAGTACGTGGTGGGACTAGAATTTGAACCTATGTCTCTGCATCTCTGTCTCTCTCACTAGGGACTGAACCCAAGGCTTTTGCACTAAGCTACAGCCCGGCTCTTTTTTTATTCTTTGAGACAGCATCTTGCCGATTGCCCAGGCCAGGCTTAAACTTACAGTCCTTCTGCTTCAGCCTCCCGGGGCACTGGAATTACAGACACGTGCCAGCACGCCTGGCTGAACCATGTCTGACTAGTGTTTTTTGGTTGTTGTTGTTGTTGTTGTGTTTTGTTTTTGCTTGTGGTCAGGAAATCTGAATTAAGGGCTGTTTTCCCTGTTGATAAATTGTTAGTTTCTACACCCCCGTCACACACATCAGTACCGTGTTTGATGTTCATTTTACTATCAGTTGTCTCACAAAAGGGCAGAAAGAGCAATGCTCGGCTTCTCTGCACCAGTGTCCTTGCTGAGGCTCCAATACTGGCGTGGGCAAGGTCTTCATGTCGGTCCCACCCTTCCATTCTACAGCGCTTCCTGGCACGGCATTAAGAGAAGTTAAATAATATGGAATCCTTTGGGTTCCTGATAACCAAATAACCCTCCCACTAAATACTTGCTTAGACTTTTGATGAGAAGATGTTTCCTGTGAAATGCAGTTTATTTCTCATTAGAACAACTGATGCATTCATATGTTGTTCATCTTTTGACCCAAGAAATGGAATTTAAAGGAATAAGGGCTTCTTAGCTTACCGAAGTAGAAAGAAAAATCTGAAGTCATTTTTTCCCCCTTCTAGCTAATTCTAAATGGCTGGATTAAAATTTGCTTTTCTTTTTTCCTGGTCAGAACAAGAAAATTTAGTTTGCATTAAAAGGTCATTCTGAAATACTGCTGCTCTCCCCACTAGCCATGTGTATATGCACTACAGATGTGTGTATTGTATATATAATACTGTACTTGTAATATATGGTGTATTTTATATATTATGTATACACACTTCTCAATGTTTAAAGAACCTGAGATACTGAAATTCCTGGGGAAGTTCTAATCAGTATTTTTTACAGAGATTTAAAGCATTCAGTTTTCTCTGATGAACTGGGGACACACTTTATTATTTTCTTAGAGGCACCCAAACTGTGACTGTACAAAGCTGAAAGGACCTGGAAGACCTTGTTCCATACCTGATGGGCACAGAGCAGCCTGGGTCCCGCTGGCTCCTTGAGGTTTTGTGAAGGCACCATCGTGAAGTATCCTGGAGTGTTCTGATGACTGGCCACGCAGCTGCAGGTCCTCTCTTGCCCGCTGTCTTTAACCCTGTGCAAAAGTGGGACTCGAGAGCAATGGGTCTTAGTAAACAGCTGTGTTAAAACCGTATTTAAAGGCCTGGCATTCACCTGTGATCCTGGCAAGGATGTGGTGGTGGGAGACAGAAAGGGGTAACGTTAGCAGAGTTAGATGAGAAGTCACTGGTACGCTGTTCTCATATTGAACAACTGAATCAATAGTCATGCAAAGCCTCTGTAATTTGGTTCTGCCTCCCACATTCGGGCCACCTGCAGGCAATCTTCACATGTGCGTCATCCTTATTGTCAATTACTTTTCTTTGCTAAAATACTTCTTCTTTAATGAATGCTATTATTTGCACTTTAGAGAATGACTCATTATTCCTGATTTGACTTATACCATGATAGAATCTGATTTTTTATTTTAGAAGATACATAGAAGAGAAAAAGTAAATTGTGTGTTCAGGGCTATGTCTCAAAATGTACTTCTGCCGATTTATGGGTAAAAGCTACTCATTTATTAGCAAAAGTACTTTCAACTGTTTTACACCATAGTGACTATTCAAGCTTTGAAGACTTGCAAAGGTATGTTCTTTGCATGAAAATTCCAGGCAGATTTTGTCCAGAGAGAGATCATTACTTTTCTCTCTTAGAAAAAGTTAGATAACAGCCTCTTTGACATTAAAAAAAAATCTGTTTTGTGAAAGAGGACACAATTTTTAAAAACCAACCACTTAAAACATCATGTCCATTCTAAAGGACACTTTTATTTCACCTTAAAAACCAGGATCATGCTGGTTATCTTTATTTAAAGTTCGGACTGAGAGATGTAAAACAAAACTGCTTTGATTCCTATCCGTTAGAGTTCTGTAACATTTACTGTTTCTCTTTACTAGTGTGTATCTAGGGGAGTGTAAGAGGGGAGAGCATCTTGGTAAAAGACAAGGGTGAGGTATGCATTTGACCCTTCACTGACTGCCTTATTTATGTAACTTGCTTTGTCTTCAACTGAGTGAAACTTGATCCAAGGTGTCCCAGCCTGCAGTGACCCCTGACTTCCATCAGAGGATGGGGCAGTTGTCCTATCCTCACCTTTCACTGAGCATCCCCTCCCCGCCATTTTACTTTTTCTGTCCTCACTTACATTAAATTAGGCTGGGGTGACAGCTACATCCCCCATTTTCCTCAGTTAGTGTGAGGAGAGCCTATTGATGCTGTGCTCAATTTTCAAGGATTTTGTCCCCTCATAATCCCCCCCAAGCAACACCAAACAGTTGGAATGGACAATAATCAGGAACCTTAGCCAATCATGAGCCCCGTGTATGAGAATGGAAATGTATTTTGGAAGCAAATTGTTTGTGACGGGGAGGTCTTGCTCACCAGCACACAGGCTGACCCCCACTGCAGGCTCACACACCACACAGCTAGAGCCTAAAGCTGGGCACAGGGTGACAACCAGGTGCCTGTTGCTCAGGAAACCACACAATCCACCGTCCCTCACTGAGCCTTTGGGTACACTGGAGGAGGATCTGTCGGAGCTGGGCCCATCTCAGGAGCTGCAGGCGGGGAGGAAAGGGGGCCTGCTCACGGCAGATGCCACCCTTTTCCTACCTGTTGGCCGTGTCGGACTGGCTGGAGCTCTGTACCGATAGCCTGTGACATCCGAGACCTGTGGTCTAGTTCCACAGTATGCTAAAGACACGGGGCGAAGGCACAAGGGTTAGAGGGTCTGGAGCAGCCGGCCTTCTGCTCTTTGTCAGTCTGTGTACAGGGACGCCACATGGCTCCTGCTCCTCCTTGACCACCACCGCCTTGCACACCCGCTTCTGGAGCCTCCCACCCCCCTGCTCACTTCCTAGGCCTACAGGGCAGGATCTGTAAAATAATGCGCATGACTGCTTCAAGTTCTACACATGTGGAGAGGCTTTCGAAGACCTTGTTCATCCCTCTTACACTCCTGCCTCAGAGTGGCTGCCTCTCCTCCAAGCCCAGCCCCAGGTGACAGGGCAGCTCTGTCCAGAGCATGTACCGCAAGTGTTGCCTACCACCAGCTGAGGGAGCCGCCCAGAAACAAGTCAGAGAGCCCCCGCTGCGATCTTTCTTCTACAAGACCCCAGATGAGGTTAGGAAAGTGGGGAGCTGCTGGGCCCATCATACTGAGATGAGTCCTCCACTCTTCCCAGGCAGTCCCTGCTTCCCACACAAGCTCCTCCTCCTGGAGCACCGCAGGCTCTGACCTTGCACACCCATCATGCCCTCCTCTTTTCCCGACGGCTCACCGGCCTGCTTGGAGTCTGGTATCCTTCAGAACCCCAGGCCCACTGTGGCCTGTGCATGTAATCCCTCCCTGAAGTCCTACCGGCGAAGGCTCAGTGTACTTCTGTAAACAGAAAACATGAAGAGAGTTAAGGAGTATTTTTTCTTAAAAATAATTTAAAGAGAAACACTACAGAGGGATTTGAATACAAATTTGTTTTTCTAAACCATTAGAACATTTTTCTTCATTATTCCTGGTCTGTGTCACATTTTAACAAAATTTAGACCAGCGTAAGCATGTTTTGTAAACTGAGCTCAGCTATCAATATAAAAAACTAAATATAGTCAGATTAGGCAAGTTCAACAAGCAGCTGTGAAAGATCTCAGTTCCTGCTCATTCACACCTGAAAATTTCAGTGACTTCAGTATCAGATGTCCCTTAGTTGAGAAATACAAAATCAAAGGTTTTTTCCATTGTTCAATATGCAACACACCTAACTGATTTCAGTAGAACCCTGGGGCTGCTGTTGATGAAATGTGCTTATGATGCAAAGGCTCACAGTGTGGTGGTTTCTAATTTTTTCAGGATTGTCCCCAGACTCAAATTACAACTCACATTTGCCGTAAGAATACACATACAGTCGTTTTGCTTAATTATGGCTGACTGCCTAAAACTACCTTCCCCTTGAATCACTGAAAGTTTTATTGGAGTTCTTTAATATGATTATAAAAATTAATGGGCTTGTAATTAGATATAAGAGAAGCAAACCCAAAGTTTGCCAAATAAACAATTGTTCTACTTATGAAGTTACACATCTCAGCAGATGAGGCCATAAAATAGATGACACAAGCTCAAAACCTTAGGCAGGCTGAATGTCCACATCAGGAAACATAATTTGAACATTAATTCAGAGCTGCTTGTAACTTCCATTGAAAAAGTAATAGGTTATTAAAATCAATACTATCACCATTATCAATGAATGTTGATACATTTAACTTTCCATATATCTTCCATTTTCTTAATGAGATCTAGGCTTAGTCAATGAATTTACTATTCAGAAACCACTAATCAAGTGATAGAATTCTGATTTATGAATATCCTCACAATCCCGCTGCTTCTGACTTGATGACATGACAGGGCATCTTTGAGGCATCTCATCCTCTGAAATAGATCAGGTACCTCCGAAACTCTTACTGCATGTGAACAAAGCATCTCGCATTGTCCCTATTCCATTACTGGAGCACAGTTTCTCCTGCTGCGGTAGAGTTTGTGACTGATACAGCAGCAAAGCTCACCTGTGTGGATTCCAGGTAGATCTTTTCTCGGACTAGAGTTTTAGTGCTGTTTGCCTTCGAATCTTTGCAGATAAATGCAGAGGATTGCATTGTTGGGAGCTTCACCAACCTCAGAACAGCATGATTCACTTGACCTGAGTGTAGGGTGAGAATTCCTCTGTATGAGCTGATGGTGATTAATCTATTTGCTTTCATTCTTCAGTTGCTTGGTGTGTAAATTTGAGTGTTTTGCTTTTCTGTTGGCAGAAGCAAATAGACACAGAACTCTCTTGTGGTATACCTGCATGCCAATATGCTGGAAAATGACCTTCAGAATTAAACCATCATGTTTTCTTGGCAAAGGCAGAGGGAGAAACTGGAAACAGATAGACTGAGGCTGCAGATGGCAGCAAGGCTGGGTGGAGAGGAGAGCGGCATGTTAGTTCCAGATAGCTGTGCCTCTTTGGTCATGTTTAAATGCAGATCTCAGTGGGTTCAAGCTCAGAATGCCAGACCTGGTGTTTGCTTCTCAGTTACAGTAAGGAAGATAGATTTATGGACTGTGCCCCAAATACTGCTGGGAAATTAACATCTGAAGTATATATACTATTTAGACCCACTTTTTCCTGTTACTCAATTGGAGATAAACTCAAAGAATAGACTCTACAATGTAATTTGGTTATATTGATGCATATAACTAATGCCACAATAGGTAAACACATGACTTGGAATAAAAGAAAGTCTGTCTTCCAAGTTTTTAAATATGGTAAAGAAATAGTTTTGGTCATTGACCTGTCTCTGGATTCTCTGGGTATATGGTAAAGTCACTCAGCTCTGTACCTCTGTTATTTAAACAATGGTTATTTGGATTAGAAATGATGCTTTCTTCTTCAATAAGTGGCTCATTATCACAGTGGGCTCTTTCACATTTGTCCTCTAGAAAAAGTTGAAGGTGATTTGAAAGGCTTTCAGATATTTTGGAAGCTCTTTAATGTTTCTTTTTAATGGAAGCAGTGCTCTGGGGTAGGGGTCTTGTCATTCATTGTTGTCTTCCTAGTACCCCAGCACAGTGACCAGCAGACGTACCCAGTGACTATGTAAGACAGAATTACGCTTCCACCCTTTGGTTTCACAGTGTGACGGAAGCTATGTATCCTAATGCTGGGTAGTTACATAAATCTCTTGATAGGTGAAAATTCATTTGATCTTTTAATATGCAGAAGTGGTTTTTTGGGTAGGGTGTTCAGAACAATAAATTTAAACATTCACAACTGTATACTGCAGAAAGTCAATTTCATTGTATGTTAATTTGAAACTAAAAATTTAAAGCACATTTCCCTTTATGAAAGTGTTAGTGTCAGCACTCTGCAAAGATGAACTTCTCTCTGAAGAACATCACAGGTCTCTTCACAGAGGTGACTTTTTATTTTTTCTAATTTATAAGTGTATTTCTCCTTGGTTTTTGAATAATTTATTTTAAAAAACTTTTATTTATGCTGAGATAAGGATCTGCCTGTGGTATAAAACATTGTTTATAAATAACGAGAGAATGCCTCTTTTCTTCCAAGGAGCTTCTCACAGTTGCTATCAAATGATGTGTCAGGATCTCCAGAGAAGCAGCTATTAACAGTAACATGAGTGAACGGCACTCAGGGCAGCATGCAGACAGGTCTGACTCACCTTGTGGTCCTTCCTCACGACCCCGCACAAACATGTAGGTGACTGCGTCCTTCATCAGGTGAAACATTAAAGACTCTTATGGCCACCCAGTGCATGACGACAGAGACGGACTGGACCCGTCTCCAGTCCCATGCCTTTCCCCGCCATGAATCACCTCTTATCTGATCCGAGGCTCACAAATAACGTGGCCACTGTGTCTGTCTGTGCGCACCCGCGTAGGCACGTATGCGCCCATACGCATGCGCAGACTTGCATGGACGAGCACGTATTTCCGGGCCAGCGCACGCACGATGCACGCCTTTGCAGGTACGTGCATGCGCAACGGATACACCTTCCTGGGCAGTCACAGGCCCTCACCGGAGAAAGCCGCAGCAGCTAGGGCTTCTCAGACCTCTGCCGGTAAGTTTTATAGTGTCCGTCCCCTGGGTGAGCTCGCCGAGGCTGAGACCTACCACCTCGTGCATGGAGAGGCCCTTGAAAGGCCATCTGCTGGTGCAGACAGCCCTGCCTCTGCATGCACTTCTGTTCTTGACACAGCGGTGCCCTAGCGTGGACAAAGCTGGTGGCCCAGTACCTTGGACTCTGACCCCTTCTTCCTATTGGCACTACCTTGTGTTCTTGGCCAGCCCTGTGCTTTGTTGTATATTTGCTGTACTTTGTGTTATCAGGAATTAAGCCATGGGATGGATGTTACTAAGAGACAACTACAAACAGTCTTTTCCGATCTGGACAAACTCCTCAGCTAAGAGATGAGGCAACTTAGGCACAGAGACCCCATCTGCTGCCCACAAGTGGGTTCTTGACTTGAGTTTCTTGCCTCACCTGATGCAAGGGTTTGTTAACTCTTTATAGTCTTTGGCCAAAATTCCACTGGTCCGTACCCACAGTATTACCTATCATTAAAATAAAGTAATTGTATATGGAAAATTTAAGATTTCCTTTCACTGTGGTTGCTTAAGAGATGTTGAGTGCCGGCCCCCTTAGGGTCTTGCTCTTCCTGCTTCTCATTGGCTGGGTGATGTTAGACCAGTCTTCTGTGGGAGAATAATCATCACTCTTATCTCTCGAGTCTACTTTCCAGATTAACAGATAATGAGTATGGGCACTCTTCTGGATTCTTGATTAATTGTGTGTTAAAATTGGTACCCAGGTGGAATTTACTGAAATATGGTAAATCTTTTACTGAGTCACTAATAGAACGTTTTGTTTACAGGGGAAAAAAAAAAAGAGACAAAAATGTGAAAGTCATAATTGGCATGATTATGCATGATTTTCATTTTCTTTTTAAGTAGCTGTGCAGCTCCTTGAAACTCAGAAAATGAAGTGATCTTAAAATTGGCTAGAAATGGTGCATTTGCTTGTTTATAGATTTTCTTTCACAATTTTAATTTTTGTACCTCTTCTGGAAAATTGCTGCTATCATTGTTATGTTAAGAGCTGCAATGTGAAGGCCAGGACCGAAAAGCACTCCTCACTTTTAAGCTTTTCATTAAATAACAACAGATAGACATGCTATAGCAGTAGTTAAGGTTGCCTGGCAGAATAAACCAGAAAGTTCAAACAAATAGGCATGTAACTTATGTTTTAAAAGAGTACTCTAGGGTTACCAGGAGGCCTGAAATCGCTGGCTTACTCTGTACACCTGGACTATGCAAGAAAGAAGAGCTAGAGCCATTTTTATGTCCCAAAGTAATTAAATGAAAACTAATGATGTTTACATTTTTGAAGGTCTGACATGCTGGAAACAGGGAGGTTTGTTTGGTGCGAGTGGGCAGGTGGTCTGATTTTTTCCTGAGAAAAAACAATAGATAGTCCTAAAAGTTCAGTCTGAACTGAGAGCTGGCGAAATGGAAACCAGGAGGTTGGAGGTTTAATTTCAGGTCTGGTCCAGTCAGTTCCTCAGACTGAGTAATTAAAACATTAAGACCATCTGTGAATACTCAGAAGCCAACTGAATCTTGGAAAACAAGCAAGTATTTTTCCTAAGAATAGGTGGTATTTGGTCACGGTGGGGAACTGTTACGAGTTAAGTGTGTGTGCACACATATATGTGAATTCACATGCCTATACTTTTAAAAAAACAGTGGGCTACTATGTGATGATTTGATACATTATATCATTTTAAAGTCAGTTAAACACACCTCTCTCATCACTTTTTTGTGGTGAAGACATTCAGAATCCTTTTATATTTTGAAATACATAGTACATTATCATCTGTTGTCAATCTCCTGCACACTAATGCGCCAGAACTTCTTCCTATGACTTAGTATCCATTGAATAGCTTTTCTCCATCCCTTCCTAGCACTACCCCCAGCTTCCCCAGCCTCTGGTAACCACCATTCTACCCTCATCTACTTTTGAGATAAACTTTTTTAGATTATATGGTGCAGATGAGTGATAATCATGTGGTCCATGTCTTTCCGTGCCTGGCTCGTTTCACTTAAGGTAATGATTTCCACTTTCATCTATGTCAATGAAAATTTTATTCTTTTTATGGCTGAATAGCATTCTTTTTTTTTTTCCTGGTACCAGAATCGAAGCCTGAATAGTATTTCTACAGTTCGTATCTCCCATATTTTCTGTTGGATCAGTCGGTGGCCACTTAGTTTCTTTTTCTGTGCTGTTGAGAATATATACACAGAGTTTCAAGGTATCGTATGCTTGAAATTGACTTTGTTTTAGTCTGAATATTGGCTCCTTGACTGATGGGATGTGAAAGAGATAACGTATTGTGTCCACTTGCCTCCAGACACAACCAGCAGTTCCACAAAGTGGGCCAACAAAACTCCTGTGTCACAATAACATGAATTACAGAAGATTTACCTTTGGCAGGCATCTCTAAGGGTGTCACCCAGCTACAGGTATTAGTTCTGGGCTTCCTCGAAACTGAATTAGTAATCAGACCAGAAAGAATTCGAAAATATCTGTGACCCAAAAGTACGGCACAGGTCAAACGTAATTATAAAATGCTGCTATCATGAAAATCTACTATTTCTGAAAATAGTAGCTTTTCTAAATTTCCCTGGGGCACCTATTCATTTCAAGCCTTGGTCAATTTAAGATGGGAGGTAGGGCCATCCTGTGTAGTATCAAAAACTGTCACCGACACAAAAACCAGAGAACGGAAAAAGGAAATTCCAAAATACTAAGAACAGAGGTGATTAGAAAAAATAAAGTGATGGTGCCCTTTAATTAGATTTGATAGGTCTTAAGGCAGCAGAACTTAATGCACTCTATTTAAAGGTATTATGTCACAAAGCGGAGATGTAGTCATTGTGTGCTCATGACCCTGCAGAGCATGGAAACACTTTGAACTCCGTCTGGGTCACTTATTTCTAGAAAGCTGTAGACAAGGGGGCTCCCAGGCCAGCTACAAAACTGATTAAGGGGATAGGAAGAGTCATTATGAGAACAAATTAAATGACATAAGTATGAATAATTGGGCTAAAAGAGGGTGAGGTAAGTTTAATGTAAATCAGTTCTATTACAGCTAATATTTCTTGGATGCACATGTCATGCACGAGGTGTATGTGTGTTTAGCTTGCACATTTCACTTCCAGTGCAACTCTGAAGATGAGTTACTGCCGTCAGCCACGTTTAACCAGGAAGCTGAGGCATAGAGCATGGGTAGTGAGTGAGCTTGCCCAAGCTGTCATACCTAGTGAGTAGCCACGTTCTCTGGTTTGGAAGTATGTTGAGCCTATTCTGTTCTGTTGGATGAAGTCACATACCTCCGCCCAAAATTTAGTTTGGCCCGTTGGTGCCCGTTCACATGACTCCATTTAAATGTCCTGTTATTTGTTGCTTCTCATTTTTCATGTAACATGGTGATTCTGTCTCTCCTTCTTCTTCACGTAACATTCTTGGATTCTTAGTCATGTAAATATATCTTTCTTGGGGATGATCTCCTGTCCAAATTGGTCAATACAACAAGCCATGTAAATGCTTGTTTTCATTTTTATTGAGATTGTGTGTCTTAAAGGCCCTTACTCTGACAAGCACCTCCCAGGGTGTTGCTCGCTCTCAGTTAATACTTGCTTCCCTGTGTGCAGGCTTACCTGTGTGTTCACAGCTGGTATTCTGTGAATGTGCATGTTACACATTATAATCACAGAAACACCAGTTCTAAGTGCCATTTCCTGCTCGAAACAAAGGAAAGAGCAGACGCATTGCTCAGTGTGGTAAGCAACACCCATTGTCAGTGCTGAGGACCTGTTTCTTGTCCAGATCTGAAGATGGGTGCACAAAAAAGTTAAGTTAGCATTGGATAAGATAAAATTTTAAAGAAGAAAGCACAAACTATGAGTTAATTATATTCAACTTTTTTGCAACTTATTCTACTTGATAAATTATGGATTTTGCTTTTCCTTTTTGAGATTAGTTCTTTTTTATGAAAAAGTGAAACATTTTCATAACCAGATAATGAGAGTTAACAATAGTTATTATATCACATATTGCTGTCTTCAAAGTAGTCACTCAGTATAAGACAGAAACAAGATTCTTATAAAAAAATAAGCAGATAATAGCACAAGCTTTCTTTTTAATCCACTAAGATAAACTATTGGTATAGTGCTTTTCCTTAAGAAACATTATTTTCTTATGTATTTATTTTTCTTATTTTATTTATTTTCATATATATTTATTTTTTTCTTTTTATAGAGTTTATTGGTACAATCTAGGTATAAAATACAGTTACGTTCATTATTGGGATCCTGTACCTTTACATGACAGGTCTTGATTCTCATTTTTCCCCCTTGTCCCTGCCCTCCCTTCATCCCCTCCTCCCCTCCCCATTTACAAACACTTTATTTCCATTTTTTCAGTTTCTCATATTTTTTCCTCTCCCTTATTACCTTTCCCCCACCCTTCCCACTTTCCTTACACCTTTAGCCCTTTACTTCCTATTTCACATTATTAATTATCTCATTAGGATCCTGTGTACTATTATAGTTTTTCATACCAGAGAAACTATTCGGTATTTCAGTTAAAGAAATCTCTGTGAACATTAAAAATAGTGAATCCTAAAACTAAAAAGGAAAGTAAAAGAGAAAAGGCAATGATGTAAGATTAAAATAATCCTTAATTCTGAAGATGAAAATGGTCCCTTAACATATTTAAATTGCTTCTTGCTCTAGTAGTCTTATCTTATTCTTTTTTCATTATTTAGAGAATACTTTATTTCTGTAATCAAACCCACGTAGATATGACCTTACATATTTA